GAACGGCGGAGTAATTAACAATTAATCAACAATAATTAACGGAAAAATTTATAACACAAATCAAAAGATACCCTTACTTATACGGAAAATCACAAAAATATTTTTAACAAAATCGGCCACTGTTTACGGCACTTATATTCACAGACGTTTTCCCGACCACGTGTTTCACGTCAACACCAATTAATCGGTATTAATTTACGCGCACCTTAACACAAAACAATTCCAGCAGTTGGGTGATGTTCGGGGCAATCCTACATGGGCAATATTTTCAACGGATGACCATCAGGAATGGAGTAATTTAATTAATTATGATGCGGGATGATTTTCGGTGAATTATTGTATTAATAATAAGCGGATCATCTTTAGAATCGTTCAACGGTTATTTCATGATATTTGTAATTGTTTGAAATCGGTTTGATTGTTCTACGATTTCTAATTCCGCATCATAAAAAATAGTCGCTATACGGTAGCTCGACGGTAGCTCGCTGGCTGCTGAAACTTCCTCGGGACGGTCGGCTGGACTGATAGAAACATGTGGCTTGTCGTATCTTGTTTGGAAATTTGTTAATTTCGGAATTATTTAATTATTTGATAATAATTTTTCGGAAAGCACATGTTTTCGTGATTCAGCAATTTTATTAATCACTTTCATTTATTGATGATTCGGTCAGGGAACGTTGTTGGAATTTAAGATAACGGTTTCGAAATGGAAAACGGAGAAAATCAAAGTCTAATTAAGAAAATTATCAAAATTAATAAAATGTGAATTGGGTTGCATAAACGGGCGGTGATAAGGAGATAAGATATCTTTTTCGGAATTTCTACAAATCGGGTGGAAACTGTAACGTATCGAGGTAGTGTGGGAAGTATACTCGGATATATTTAATTTTCGGTAATTTTTCTGGATATTCGGTTTTTTGAAAAATAAAAATAATGTAACTTCGTTACAAATCTGAACGCGTGTGTCTAGCGCAATAAAATTTGGTATGGAAGTAGTACTAAAGTAGTGTAACTTACTCTCACAAGGAGAGCGGCACAACTCTGCTGGGAGTAGAAACATCAATAGCGAGAGTATCCCCCGTGAGCTTCGCGTATCATCGCTACACGACGTGGCATGGAGTCTATAAGTCGCTGTATTGTAGCAAGAGGGATGGCCAACCATGCCACCTCAACTCGCCTCCATAGCTCCTCAACGTTAGCCGAGGAAGCCGGATAACGTAGAAGTCTCCGACCAGTCATGGCCCAAACATGTTCTTGTCTGCTGCGGTGCTCGGATGTTACTGGAATCCGCTGTATTGCACGACGCGCGCGCAGTTCACTATCTACCAAACGCCGCCATACAGTTCGCGTAGTGAGTGCGCCTTCCCCTGCCGGTGGCCAAACAGCTCCAAGTTGCCTTGAGGAGGACGCACACGACGCTAAAGCGCTGAGCACAAGAGTGCGATCCTCGTGTGCTGGGGTCGCGCAGGGGTGTCCCGGCCGCGGCTGTAGGTGCCTATGTCCTACCTCAGACCATTCTCGCCATGCCCGTTGCACTGCCGATAACGACCGCTCGAGACGACGCGCAATTTCACAGAACGATACACCCTCAATGTGCATACTAGGGTGTCCCTTATATGGCAAAAAAAATTTTTTTGAGAATTTCGAAACGCATGCCCTCTACTTTTTTTATAAATGCTAAAATGTACTTAAATATGGAATTTCATATTTGTAGCATGATTGCAACCCGTGCCGACCGAGCTCTAAAGTTTAATAAAAAATGGTCTTTTGGCCTGACATTTTGGTTTGATCCAAAACTAATTAAAATGCAACAAATAAAGTAAATATGAGTAAAATAAAAAAAAAATAAGATCAACATAAACTTTTATTTAAATACAATTTATAATAATAATTAATTAAGATAACTTCTCTTTAGTGTAGTTTTTTACAGTCTGGATACAGATTTCTATGTTCCTGAACACAACGCAACAAAAACTGTTTTTGCTCTTCTTCAGCCGTGATAAGTCCATTAAAATCTTGCATTAATTTAACAGCTCTTTCAGCAGTGTCATTTACGACCTTCAAACGACTTATTCGTCTTCTAGCTTCCAAAAAAGTAGGATTGTCACCCCAAGAAGATATATCTTCCCGAAGAAAACTGTCGTCGATCTGCAGTCGAGATAGAAATTGTTTGCTTCTTTGAGTCACAAAATCATCCAGCGTCATATCTGAAAGAAAGAAAAAACAGTTTAAATAAGCAAAAACTAAGCCACGAAACTTTGAAAAAAGAAACAAGAAAATATTAAGCTTACTAAACAAATTTTGCGTAATTTCTTCCTTCGATGGGACATAGCCTTTAGCGGAATGTGAATTTTCGTCTCTGTTTAAATTATTTATCATTTTTGTCTTGGTTTTGGAATCAACTTCTTCATCAAACAGTGATAACATGACTGTTTCTTCACCCAAATACCATAAATGATGAACAAACTTGCTTATGGATGCCTTGGAACTTGTCGCGTCTACTTTTTCATATTCTTTTAGAGCTTTCAAAAAGCACAAGTCTTGGTTAGGTGCTTTAATTGCCACTGTGCATTCGAGCCAAGGTTTAGTATACAAGGTGACGATAAATAAGCAAACATCTTGTAGAGCATTTTTGTCCTTTGCAGTAATTTTAAGTTGCGATTGAAGCAAACATATTTTTATAGAATAGATCGCTCTCGCCATCCATCGCGCTTGATGCAAAGCTCCGGGGGGCCTGAGTTTTAGTTTATTCTCTGTATCTCCTCCTAAGAACACAACGCATAGTTCAACCAATTCGCGGTAATCGTCTCTAATAAAAGGTTTTTCCAGTTCAGTCTTATAAAAAGTTAACAAATATGTAATGTTTGTCTCAGCAATATGTGCTTTAACGAAATTCAGAGGTGGCTCAATGTTATCGGTGTTAATATTTTTCCAATTATCTCTTAACTTTTTGAAAATTGGAATATCTGGGCTACTTGTAATATGCTTTACCTTGGTTTCAAAAACAGCTTTAAGGACCAACTCATAAATATGATGACGACAAGCAAAAAGCAGCAATTCCCTTTCTAAAGTCTGCTCCAAAATAGCACAAGCTCCTCTGAAACGGCCAGTATTTGAAGCTGTTGTATCGCAGCACATTATCTGTACTTTATCATGGAGGTTCCAGTCAAAGAGTGCAGTTGAAATGGCTTTAGCTTGATGTTTTCCAGAAGAACTCTCTAATTTTGGTACTGCAAGAAGCTGTTATCGTTAAATGAAGTAATAATTGGCAAGCGTTCTTCTTTTGAATTTCGTACATCCAATCCAGGTAATAGTTTTCCATCCCAATGGACTGTGACTACCTCAGGCAAATTATTCTGGAAGTCAGTTTTTATTGCTTCTGCCCTGGATTTTCTCGCCTGAGTACGAATTCGCTGAATCGAGGATTTGTTAATAGGGAAATCATCGCTGTTCAGACCAAGCGCTTCTACAACCGCATGGAGAATGTAAACTGAGTCCCTTATGCTTAATTGGCATCGATCTAAAGCTGCTACCAGTTTAGGAGTTATGAAACTTTTCGTGCCTCTTTTAGAACTTTTTTCAGGGCAAGGAATCTGAGTACTAAGTTCAGAGTTCGAAATCTGTTCCTCATCCGAATTCTCAAGACATTCCAAGCTATCTATCGAAGAAGTAGATGCAACAGCCAATAACTTTCTTTGTTTTACCTTTCTTTCCTCTTCTTTCAATTGTCTTTGCCTAACTCGTTCTTCTTTCTCCGCCAATTTTTTGTCAATTCCACCTAAGCATCCCGGCCGACCTGGCTCTCTCTGTTTCCTTAAAAATTCTTTGTCTTCCTCTATTTTCATTCTGTCGAAGGCATCAGCATGTGCAATATCAAATAAGTTATCAAGGTCTTTTACAAAATTATTTTCACGGTTTTTGAACGTCACCTGAGTTTTCTTACAGTTTTTTTGCAGCTCCCTCCAAACATGATATAAATCAACAAGTTTCTTCACGCAGTTAGGAAATGCCTTCGTAGGAATTCTGGCTTTTACCCAAAATATAATGCAGTCTCTTATAACAAGATTCGCACTTTCACTAACAGTCAGCTTGACTTCACGAATATTGTAAAATAAAACGGTAAAACTTGTCGATTAGATGGTAATTTTGCACCATTTATCTGGTGGCTTGGCAGTCCGATAAGGTAAATATTTTGTTTATCACTTCGTAATTCCACAGACATCTTCACACAATAAACAACAACGCACTAATAATGTTAGAAATCACGTATGAAATGACAATTGAAACTCGCAGTAACAGGTCGCAGCGCTGCACCTGCGTAACATGTATGGACAAGTTAAAAACTCAAGTCGGCACGGGTTATCGTTTATAAATCGGGCTAATATTTATTTCTAGACTATATTAGGTCAATACGAAAGTTTTTAGAAGGTATGCGTAAAAATATATTGAAATTGAAAATTTAAGGGACACCCTAGTGCATACCCTCAAACATTCCTCGCTCCAACTCGCTAACCTCGCTACTTAAGTAACGCGATCACCCATCCATTGCGCACAAAGTACGATAACAATGTGGTTCCTCGGACCACACTAAAAACGACCGGTGTTTTCCATCCACTTCGGTCTCCATAGCGACGGAATGTTCCACTTGGAAGAGCGGCTCAGTCAACAATGCCGCGACGGAACAACTCGAAACTCGATGAATAAACTCGTCTACAGTAAACCTTTGTGCTCCGCAAATATCATGGATTTATCTTCACGCGTTTAGATTATATAAGGTGTGCTCGTGAATTATGTCCAACAGTGTAAATTCGTATGTAATTAAAATTTTTGTTAGGTGTCTCATTGGAATTTATTCTGGTCACCACTCAATATTAATACCTCCGTCAGAAGTAGAAGTAAACCCAGCTCTATGGTTAACTGCAGTAAGCAACTATAAAGTAAGAGATACATTTTGTTCTTACGGCGTAATGGAACTATGCACCAAAGGTCTTGGATCATCTGTAAATCAATTGAAAACACGCGGAATTAATTTAGCGTGCGTTCGAACGTGCGTTGTCGTAGCGGAAGAACGGCCGAGAATAAATCTAACCACCAGTTTTTCAAAACTTTTCAGCGCATTAGGGCTTAGCCCTCGAGCTGTATCGACATCGTTCGGTTGTAGAGTAAATGTAGGTATTTGTTTACAAGGGGCGTCGAGTCCAGAACCGTCGACGGTTTACGTCGACTTAAGAGCTTTAAGAAACGATAGGGTTACTTTAGTCGAACGGGGAAGTCCACACAGTTTATGTTTGATGGAAAGCGGAAAATTACTTCCAGGCATTAAAGTGATCATTGCCAATCCCGAAACGAAAGGTCAATGCGGTGATTCGCATTTAGGCGAAATTTGGGTACAAAGCGGGCACAATGCGAGCGGTTATTATATGATTTACGGCGAAGAAAGTGATTACGCCGACCATTTTAATGCTCGATTGGTTACCGGAAACACGGGAGAGGTTTACGCTAGGACGGGATATTTAGGATTTTTAAGACGTACCGAAGGAGCTCAATCGAGTATTGGAGATGAATCGACCATTTTAGGAGGAGGTAGCGATAACGATTCCGTTGGAACGCAACACGGACTTTGTATGGATTCGCCAGAACTTCATGATGCCGTCTTCGTCGTTGGTGCTTTGGACGAAACCATTATGTTAAGAGGAATGAGATATCATCCCATTGATATTGAAAATAGCGTTTTGAGGTGCCATAAAAAAATTGCTGAATGGTAAGTCAATTTCTATATGAGTAGGTATTTACTAAGGGCCGGTTCTTCAGTCGCTAGATAAACTCCAGTTAAGTAAATCTCGGTATAACTTGAAAAGTCAATTCTCGTCAGTTTAAAGATCGATATATCGAGAACCGTCCGATGAAAAAAATTGCGGTTAGCTTTGTTGTATTTACTGAACATTTCTACGTAACATATGTGAATTTGAAAATTTTCGACTCCGCGGTTTTCCTAAAATCGCGAGTTAAATGAAAAAAGTAGCTTATTTTTGACGGTGCCGGCAACTTTGTCCACTTTGCGATTTTTTTCCTCAAAAACCATCCGACGAAAAAAATTCAAATTTGAATAGGTGATACCCTGATGTGTTCTTAATGATGTGCATATTTAATTTTTTCGATATTCCATATAGTTTCGCGGAAAATCGCGGTTTAGTAAGATGCGGTGTAGTCGAAAACGGCTGGTTGGATTTTAACGCGGTTTTAACCAAAATATGGTAAATAATTGTGTTTGTCGAATCCTCTTATTGGGTTTTCAAAGTTTTGTTCCCATAATTTTTTTAAAACAATTTAGGCGTGCTATAAATTAAAAAGAAATAGAAATAAGCCATGCGGGGGGAGAGGGGTTCCGTTCGGTTATAAAAAGTGGTGCTGGTTGTGTTCCAGACTGGTTTCGACTTGGCGTACTGAAGTTTGAAGGGATTCCGGTAGTTCCGTCTCAGAATGTAACAGACGCTCAAGACGCATTGCGCGCCCTGGAATATTTTTCGTATAATTATTTTGTATCTGTTTGTAATATTTATTTATTTCATTTCACCTTCGCGCGTATTTTTTTCAATATCTTACAATATATTACATGGTATATGCGTGAATGGTAAAGGTAAAATGAAATAAACAAATACTACAGAAAAATACAAAATAATTATACATATACATATACGGTGTGTGTTTTTATGTGAGAAATATATTTAAATACACTATAATTGAAAGTTCCCGTAATATTGAACAACTATGGTTACTATTCCACGTGAATAAACGTAAAATTATTTTGGGAGTTGTTTATCGTCCTCCCAATTTTCCATGTAGCATTTTTTTGATGAACTTGAGAAAACTATCTCTCTGTGTTTGCATCTTAGTGACGAGATTATAGTCTGTGGTGACTTTAACATTGATTTTCTTAATTCTCAAAATATGAACACTGAGGCCTTGAAAACGCTTTTTTCATCCTTTGATGCTAGACAGTTGATTAATGAGCCAACTAGAATTACTCGTACTTCGTCTAAATTGATTGATCTTCTTTTTGCCTTCTGTACGGTGGATGTCAGACATTCGGGGGTTATTGCTTCTCAGATTTCTGATCACGATATTATCTTTTGTGTGTTATCGTTAGCTGAATCTTTCTCCACAGGTTCTTGTAGGGTCAGGAGAAGTCTGGATACGATCGATGTAGCAGGTTTTAGGGAATTTTTAAAGCAAATTTCTTTTAACCATATTTTTTTTATTGAGGACATTAACGAGAAGCTTCCTTTTCTCAATAATGGCATTCTTTCTGCCTTTGAGGTTTTTTCACCTGTGGTGTGTAGACCGAAAAGCAGTAGGATAAGACCACCCTGGCTCACTGACAACTTAAAATTTATGATCTCATTGCGAGATAAGGCGAAAGCGAACTTTAAGAAGAATCCGTCTTCCGCTAGATGGGACTATTATAAGTCTCTGCGGAACTTAACGGCATTTACTGTGAAGGCAGAGAAAAGAGCTTATTTTCGTCATATTGGTAATATGCGTGACAGAAGACAATTGTGGTTTAAACTAGGGTCACTTAGTTTGAAAAAGAAGTCAGTATCTGGTATCCCTGATGCTTTAAAAAATGTTAATGAACTGAATGATTACTTTCTTAAGAGTATCTCTGATATTCTTGATTCAATGCCTCTTGATCAATCGGTTTTGGATTTTTATACTAGTTTGCCTAATAATGGAGGTGTTTTTGAATTTTCTACTGTTTGTCCTACTTTGGTCGAGAAACTTGTGTATGATTTAAGGTCATGTTCTGAGGGTGCGGGGCTAATGCTTTGATAGTAGCGAGAGAAAGTTTTAGGAAAACCAATGTCTTCAACAACAAAATTTTATTTACAACAATAATAACAATAATGTAAGTGCGGACGCGAAAAGGGTAACTGCTGACTGATCTGCCGATGGTAACTGACTGATAACTGATGGTAACTGACTACTAACTGAACTCTCCGGACCGATCCTGGTTCCTTTTATCCCCGAGTCCAGTAACATCCCCGGTGAAAGCTCTCTTCGAGTCCTTGTCTGGACCAAAAGGATCTGCTGTCCAGATGTACGGAGAGAGTTCTTCTGAATAGTTTCGAACGCTTTCTGGCGACCAGATGTTTGCCACGGAGAGCGTCCAGTAATATCTCCGGTGAAAGTTTTCCGGGAACTCTTTGCCTGGACCAAAAGGGTGTCCTGCCCAGATGACCGGAGAGAGATTTTTTGAACGGTTTACAAAGTTCCCTGGCGTCCAGATGTTCGCCACAGAGGGTAGTGATGGTATTAGCGCCGATATGATTAAGCTTGCCTGTCCAGTCATTTTACCTTATTTCACACATATATTAAATGTCTGTATTGCAGAGGGGAGGTTTCCGGACATTTGGAAGCATGCTCTAATTAAACCTATTCCTAAAAATCAAAATCCTACCAGTTTTAGTCATCTGAGACCTATTAGTTTATTGCCAGCTTTTTCAGATTCTGGAGAAGATACTAAAACAGCAACTTGTGGAATATCTTCATGAATTTAATTTACTTCCGGAATTTCAATCAGGTTTTAGAATGAGTTTTAGTACTACTACTTCAATGATGGCGCTTATGGATAAGCTGATTACTGCGATTGATCAGGGTAACGTTGCTATTCTCACTCTGCTAGACTTTAGTCGTGCATTTGATACTGTGAATTATACCATTCTTTTGTCGATTCTTTCGTCAATTGGCTTTGATTCGACTGCTCTAAACTTAATTAGTGCATATCTGAATGGTAGATCACAGTCGGTTGTTATTGATGGGGTGGCATCCGAGTGTCGTGAGGTTATCTCCGGGGTTCCACAGGGCTCTATTCTGGGACCGATTTTGTTCTCCATTTATACAGCTCATCTTTTTGATCGGATTCAACATGGTACACAGTATGTTGTTGGTTCACTCCTTTCATCCCTCCCAATGGCGGGAGGCTATTTGTCGTATCAATACTGATCTCCATTGTGTTTATGAGGCATCCACTGCACACTGTCTGAGGATCAATCCTGATAAATCGGCGGTCATGATCTTTGGGAATACAAAATTCACTTCAAAAGTGGCTCGGCCCTTTGGTATTGTCATGAATGGTACGAAATTACCTGTAGTTGATAGTCATAAAAGTCTTGGTTTGGAAATTGATAGTTCTTTTAGATATTTGTTAAAAACGCTTATTTCGCCCTCAGGCTACTTTTTCCGCATAGGTCTTACTTACCCATAGATGTCAAGCGGATGTTATGCGATGCTCTTATTTTGTCTCAATTTAATTACATGGTTCCTGTATACCATCCAGCGTTAACTGCTTTTGATTCAAATAGAATCCAAAAAATTCAAAACTGTTGTTTACGTTTTATTTATGGCATACGAAAATATGACAAGATATCTCATAAGTTAGTTGACGCTGGATGGTTGTCGATCGGGAACAGAAGAGTGCTTCAGACATTGGTGGTTTATCATAAACTAATGTTGAGTAAGACTGCAAGTTATTTATATAGGAGGATTAATTTTAGAAGTAACGTTCATAATCGATTGACTAGGTTTATTTCCTTTATTTCTCCACCTGTCCATCGCACGGGTTTGTTTGAGAGATCTTTCTCATACCATGTTTACAAATCCTATAATTTTATTTCGATGGCTGATAGGAAGTTAAGTGTATCGACGTTCAGGTCTCGGTTATTTGAAAGATTATTCAGATGTCAGTGTGCTTCTCTGTTGCAAGAGGTCCCGATATCATTTTTCATATAATTTTTTTTTGTGTTTTGTGTTTGTTACGTCTTCTTAATACCTCTTTTTGTTATCGAGGTCCAGATGGAAGAACAGGATTTTATTTTCCTGAATCTGCGCCTCGTGAATTGCTTGCCGCACTATGCTATAATAGCTCTCTTTTGTTTAGATAGGTTTATTTTGTATCTTTTTTTTTTCTTTCGAATCATTTATTGTTTTTATTTTTGGTTATATTATCTTGCTATATTATATTGTTTTATTTCTATAATTGCTGTGTGGTTTGGCAATAAAGTCTATTATTATTATTATTATTATTATTATATAATATATAATTATTCTATGACGCGTCTTGAGCGTCTCTTACGTTCTGATGCAAGGTCTACCGGAATTCCTTCAGACTAGACTTCAGTACGCCACGTCGAAGCCAGTCTGGAATACACACCAGCCCCATCTTTTCCAACTGAACGGAACCCCTCTCTCCCCGCATGGCTTATTTCTGTTTCTTTTTAATTTATAGCTCGCGTATATCGTTCTAAAAAAATTAATGAGACAAAACTTTGAAAACCCCATAACAGGATTCGACAAACACAATTCTTTCTACATTTTGGCTAAAACCGCATTAAAATCCAACCAGCCGTTTTCGACTATACTGCATCTTACTAAACCGCGATTTTCCGCGAAACTATATGGAATATCGAAAAAATTAAATATGCACATCATTAAGAACACATCAGGGTACCATCTGTTCAAATTTGAATTTTTTTCGTCGGATAGTTTTTGAGAAAAAAAATCGCAAAGTGGACAAAGTTACCGGCACCGTCAAAAATAGGCTACTTTTTTCATTTAACCCTTTGTGTCCCGACGGTACTTTAAAGTACCGGTAATTTTAAACACTCATTTTAAACTGTAGTTATCTATTCGGCGCATTTAGAGCTGTCTGTACTTTCTACTATACAAGTGTATACAAGAAATAATCTGTATAAAAAACGTCGCAATCCGCACTGTAGGATTTTTAGGTACACTTTAAACTTATTCATCCAGATGTGAGGTTAGAAGTTTAGTGAAAAGTGGTGCTGTTGAATTTTGTTGTTCAAGAAGGTATTTCTTTGATAAATGGTTATTAGGTGTGATTATTACAGATCATTTTAAAAAGAAAACATTGAGCTTAAATTTAAAATAAGTCTCATTCCTTAATTTCAATAAACATGGTTTCTAAGAATTTTTAAATTAGCATCTTTTTTGACTCTTTTAAATGTAAGTGTTGTTTCAACATTTTTTTTCTTAATATTTTTCCAATCCAACCCAACAATTATTATACATCATTTTAAAGAGAAAGCTTTGAGCTTTAATTTAAAATAAGTTTCATTCCTTAATTTCAATAAATACGGCTTCCAGGAATTTTTAAATTAGCATCTTTTTTGACACTTTTAGGTTATACGAAAATGTTAGTTTTAACTCAATACTCTTTTTCTCAAAATTTTTTTAATTCAACCCATCGATTGTTATACATCGATTTATACAGAAAGCTTCAAGCTTGAATTTAAAATAAGTTTTATTTCTTAATTTCAATAAACACGGTTTCCAGGAATTTTTTAATTAGCATCTTTTTTTACACTTAGACTATGCGAAAATAGGGGGATTGCATATTTTGCTAAAATTTTATTCCAAAGGCCTTTACCGAGTGTATTTTGATAGCGTTTTAATTCTGTCTGATTCTGTCACAAAGTTTCAAAATGTTTGACTTCTTGGGACACAAAGGGTTAACTCGCGATTTTAGGAAAACCGCATAGTCGAAAATTTTCAAATTCACATATGTTACGTAGAAATGTTCAGTGAATACAACAAAGCTAACCGCAATTTTCTTCATCGGACGGTTCTCGATATATCGATCTTTAAACTGATGAGAATTGACTTTTCAAGTTATACCGAGATTTATTTAACTGGAGTTTATCTAGCGACTGAAGAACCGGCCCTAAATAATAAATCTTTTCAGTGCTGTATTTACGTGGACCAATTTATTGGTTGTTGTTGTCGAATTGGATGGAAATGAAAGCGAAGCCCTTGATCTCGTACCATTAGTAACAAATACAGTTTTAGAAGAACACCATTTAATTGTGGGCGTGGTGGTAGTTGTAGATCCAGGAGTGGTGCCGATAAATTCAAGGGGTGAGAAACAGCGTATGCATTTACGAGACGGTTTCTTGGCTGATCAACTCGACCCCATTTATGTGGCCTACAATATGTAACCATTGGTAACTGTACCATTTTGTGATTTAAAAAAGAAGAAACAAATAAAATAAAATTTCGTTGGCTGTAGCAAGCAGGCAGGAATAGAGAACAAAAAACAAATATCTTTGAGGTGTTCACGTTTCGGCTCAAAACATTGTCTCAATCTATGAGTAGTGGCTAATTGTAAATACAATAATACGTACGAGGGCCTACAAAAATGAAAAAGAGGAAAACGAGAAATAACTAGTGTAAATTTTATAAAAGCGACACACCGGAAAGTGCTGTACAGGTTCTGTATCGCGTTAGTTAATTCTACAATTGTTTATGGCCGTTTTGTATTTGTGCAATACCCGAGCCGTACACCGTTCGATATTTTTTATTATTATTAAGGCGATAATATAAAATGCGACAAAAAGAACATTGTGATTTTTTCCTTTATTATTTTTATTAATTTTTTAAAGATTTTTACAACATCATTTATATTATTCTGTTACTAACATTCCTGGGAGACCTTCTAAAGGTTTCGGTAATGTACCAGTTGTGCATTTTCTTCTTAATAAATGATGTTGTAAACTTCGCCACACATTTATTATTAATTGATCAATTAATTATTATTCATATTATTTAAGCATCTAGTCTTATCGATCGCTCTGGCGTAGCTTGATTCTAATTAAAAAGTAGTTAAAAAGTACCCCACCCCCCATCCTTTTAATTAATTATAGGTATAATTTTCACTAATGCACATTTATAGTACGTACGTTTTTGGACTTTTTACAAAACCGATTGCAAAATAAATTGCAATAAAAACCAAAACCATGTGGCTTCTTGTTGCGGTTTTCGTTTATTATTGACAAATATTTGTACGGTTCTTTTTTAGCGTTACTATTTTTTATTGTATAGTCTGACAAGTTTGACAATATATATTGTATTATTTCTTATATATCGTACATGTACATATTTAAAGAACAAACAAGTAATTAACATGACCTGTAGTGTAATCCAGTTGTAATTTACTATCTCTACACACACACATGTCTATATAATTGAAGGTCTTTATTAAAAACGAACCTTTGTTGCAGACGCATAAAGATGAATTATATACGTTGTGTAATCATATTTAAAGAGAAATAAAGGTAAATTTTTACCACTGAATGTATTTATTATTTTATTTTGTTTTATACATTTGAATGTTCTTTTATCCAATCTCTGTAATAAATAACGGATGTAAAAACATCTGGTTTACCTTTAGCACATGGTTGTCCCCAAGATACAACTCCAACTTGGGTATTTCCATTTATTAGTGGTCCCCCGGAATCGCCCTGTAATCAAAAGGAGTAAAGTTATAATTTTTTAATTAAGTCAACTTTTTTATTTAACTTACATGGCAAGCACCTTCGCCTTTTTTAGTAAAAGTACAAACGTGAGCATCCGTTATCTTAACTTCATCGGGAGTTATATCTTGAAATTCTTTAGCGCAATCTGCACTTGTAATTGAAATCAATTTTATTGCTTGTAATTTATTTGGAATTTTTCCTGGATACTTCAAAAAATCATTATATTTGTATACAGGTGTCTCAGCGAGACCGGCCATTAGACGTTTCTGGGGTTCTGGCCAAAATAAAAAATTGAGAATTCAGACTTAAGTATTATCAATTACGATCTCTTCGACTAAAATATTTTCAGATTTCTTGCACTTCCGGTTATACCGGAAGTCGTCACCTACTTTATTTTTTTAAATGGAACAGCCTGTATATTTTTATATATTTGGATTTGTCTGTTTTGAAGGTTTATAAATAACTTTACTTTTTGCAATTTGATTCGGCCGTTCTCGAGTTATTCGATTTTTTCTAGAAAAATCTGCTCCAGCGGATATTTGTTCAAAAAATCATAGAACACTCGATTTTTGAGATATCAATTTAGGATTCAGAACATGCTTGAACAACATGATGGAGTATGTTTTGGTGCCAAGAACGGCTGTCTAAATCGTTTGGTCACTTTACTATGACACGTTAACTTTTCGAAATTTGGAACTATCATAACTTAATTTTTTTAAATGGCACCCCCCATATTTTATTACTTAGTCGTCTTCGGCGTCTCATTCTACATCTTTTATATCCCATATGTCCCATACCTAACATTAATAGTTTGGGAGATAATTAGG